GGGGGGAGGGGGGGAGGGCAATTACTTTGCTCATGAAGCAAACATGAAAGGCAGTGATTCTGTACACTTTCCCATCGAAGGTCGTTAGGTTTATTTGAATGTTCACTTTTAATCAGAGATTAAAGGAAATTTATTGAATGGAAATAGCACAATTATTTTATTATTTTGAAATAAAAAAGTAAACTTGACAAGTATAAATACATTTTCTAACCTTCTAAATTGGAAACTCGTTCATTTTACCAACCATTTATAGCGTTTACCACGTATCAAATAGTACTCACGACCGTTCAGCTCACAGTAAATGTGTCAATGGATCAGATCACGACAATTAAAATGACAAAAGGATGCTTATTAGTGCAACGATATCAAAATCAACTTAGCTAATCAAAGATTAACATTGAAATTCGTCTAAGGAATTTCCAAATTATTATCGCGAAAAATTCCTGCGTCGTGTTGCAGGCGAATTTTCAGTTAAATTATTCAAAATTCGAGAGCAATCTTCAGCCTATCACACGTAAAATGGTAGTAACCCGAGACTGCATGCAGCAGCAAGTTTGAGACGAAAACGAAAGTAAAGGAGAAGTTTAAAGTAGCTATAATTCTACACAGGTTTACACCAGAACTCACCTCAGCAATGGTTGTAATGAAGGGGTACTTCTTATGCAAGAAGTCATTTGCAAGCATCAAATACGTCCACGATTCAGTATCCACACTTAACCCAAAGTAATCACCATACGAGCCAGAAAAGTTAGTATTCAAACCATGGTGATGGTAGATCATGGACATCACACCATCAAAACGGAAACCATCGAATCCGTATTCATCGATCCACCATCTTAGATTGGACAGAAGAAAACGTAGCACTTCCAGTCTAAATACGAAAATTGGATTAATCGATAAAATTGAATTGCGATGCAATGTAAGGAAATGAAAACTAACTCAGTGTAGTTGAACAGTCTTGAATCCCACAAATCGTGGACCCCTCTTCCATGGTCATGGAAATAGCAAGAGTTAGTTCCATCAAACTGATTCAACCCATCAGCAGTGTTCTTGGAGGCGTGGCTATGGACAACATCAAGGAACACAATGACGCCATGACGATGACATTCATCAATTAGCTCTCTAAGTTCATCAGGAGTACCATAACGACTAGACGCAGCAAAGAAATTGGTAACTTGGTAACCAAAAGATGCATAGTAAACGTGCTCCATGATGGCCATCAATTGGATGCAATTGTAGCCTAAATCAACAATTCTTGGAAGAACTTTCTCTTTGTACTCCAAGTAGGTTCCAACTTTATACTCCGAGGTAGCAATGCCAACATGGCTTTCGTAGATTCTAAGGCTTTTTGGCTTCGGCGGATGAGGATATTTAAACTCATAACGCTTGAAGCAGAATCGAATTAACAAGAGTAGCGAAATTTATCATACCGATGGGGGGTTATAGAAAACGTGGTCGTAAATAATGTTTTTATCAAAATTTTTCACATAAGTTGCCCAAGGACTTAATCTATCAAATTTAGCACCACCTGGTCCAACGATGAGAAGCTAGAAATACCAATATAAGATCAATCAATTAAATCATTACCTTAATCTTTGATAGGTGTGGAATCATTGGCTTTCCATCACTGGGATTTGGAGGAATAATAAGTTCCCATTTTCCAAAGTCAAGCTTTTTGAAAGGATATTCAAATTCATTCCAATTATCTATTAAAATGTGAATAAGAAAAAAAACAAACTGACTGAAGTCGCCACGAAGATAAACAGCCTGAGCTCCAGGAGCCCATTCTTTGCAACGGATACTTCCATCGGATTCACAATGAATGCCAAACTCTTTGAAACCTTGCGTGAAACTTTCCATACCACCAACACTATCAATCCATTTGCTGTAGTCCAAGAAGCATTTATATCTAAATATTGAAAACATACAGAAATTAGTTCGTTGCTGATAATTAATAAGAAAACTGGTTACTGTAAGCAGTAAATATTCCATATGATTTTTAACTTACCTTCGTTTGATTTCGTATCTGTAAGGATTTAAATAAGGGTCAATTTCAAACAGATTTTCCCCATTGGGGACATGCACCGAATTAATTTCTTCTGAATTATAGTACATGCTTAACTGCGCAAACTGACAAATGACTGAAATTCAGTTCCACGCCATTCAGACTGTCAGCTGATTAAATTAAATTTGGAATGGTATAAGAAAATTACAAGATGAAAAAATAATCAAATTTGCAAAAAATCATACAGTTTATGCTATTTTTTATACATTTTATCTTAGATTTATAAATATACTTTATTCTTTTCATAAAATTAACCTCTTATACAAATATTATTCTTTGTGTATTGCAGCTCATTGAAAAGTAATGGTGTCCTAATAATAAACTATTATTGGGCAATAATAAAAAATCAATTTATTTACTTTACCGATTTTAAGATGTTTATTAGCTTTGTGGTTTCAAATCGTTTCTTTCCTATCTCGAAAACGTTGGTCTCTGATCATCAGCATATATTAACATGGACAAAAATTCGTGTACACACGAATTTTGTACTCCTTAAGTGTTAATGCATGAAATTCGGGTCAATTTAAAATTTGTAAACCCTTCAACATTGCTAATCGCAAATGTTTATTAACGCATATGACTAAATGGGAGGGGCGAAATTTTGATTAAGATGAAGTTATTCAGAATTATATGATTTCAAAGTAATCAATTAATTACTCAACTTAATCGTTTCATATGAGGCTTAATTTATTCTAAATTTCGTCAAAAGAAATCTATGAAGTTATGGAGCTCATTATATCTCATTAAATACTGAACTTTTACGATTTCGAATAACCTCTTCCATCAAAATCCAACCTTAAGTCTGAGTTCATTTTGGAAAATATATATTGAAATATTCTATACACACTCGATCCCTTCTATTACAGTAGTGGAAGATTCAAGATGTTCATAAAATTTTTAACTTTACTGCGAAAAGTACGATCTTGATATGCACAGTTGTGAGATTCAATGCCATCGTGCGTACGAAGAAATATTTGCCACACGCTGAAAAACTTGAACATACAGGTGACCAATAATAAATTTGGACCCAATCCACACTAACTCACTGTCCAACACCACTTAAGGCGAAAGTTGCTACTGAAACATGATAGCTGTTGTGTCTCGTTTTCGATGTAGCATTGGCAAGCTTTTAACATTTCTTAGTCCAATAAATCTTCTCATTTTTATTGTTTCCATGCGTATTTCTAAAATAAATCCTTATTTTGATATTGGAATTGAAAATATCCATGTCGTTCAACGACCAAATTTATATGTGGGGTTACAATACGCTTGACATCTCCGGCATTAGTTGAGATATAAGGCCTAACTGATTCGGTTTTCTATTGATCTTTAAAAGCCACTTTAGTAAGGGGAGTATTCGCATTCAGTCTTTATCAAATTAATTGAATGTCCTGAAGCAACTGCGTACTTACCCTCTCCATGCCCTACTACTGATTCTGAGTCAGTTAGGTCAATATTTCAGTCAACTGTCTCATTTTCCACTAGAATGGATGCAATGAATCTGATGAGAATTATTTATTAAGTTCTAGGGAGTGCTCCTTCATCTGTTCAAACCAGTTTGGCAAGAAAACAAAAATTGTGTCAATTTATTCATTACTGAAAACTGCCAATGCGAAGATTCAATTCAAATTGCGATTTTAGATTAGCAAAATAATGAGATATAGTCATTAAAATATCAGTTGCTATAAAGTATACATTTAGGTCTAGCGGATTAAGTTTACACACATATATGTGTAGCTGATTGCTACACAAATAAGCCTTGACTTAACCTCCGTAATCTCTATGACAATAGAGTCTCGTATTGGTAGGTTCCCAAAGTAGGGCAAGCTATATCCATTCTATAGAATGAGCTGGAGTATAGCGAGGTTAGTGTTTATTGAATTTGTACTCACTCTGAAATCGATTCATATTTGAATAACTTTAACGTAACTTGAATGATCAATAGCTGAGAAATCATCTTCGTACACGACCGCGCCTTCCAAAATGCTGGACTGCGTACTCCACATATGTACAAATCATTATGTTCTTTGCTCTTTCGAACAAGATAATTTATATTTAAACAGATTTTTTGCCATACAACTATAACTGAGCTCAATGACTTATTGAAGTATTGACGAAGACATAAAATTTCACCTTTCTTTAGAATGAGATTTTATAATTTATTGCAAATCTATCAGTATATTTAGTGGCAAAGATCCGAGGCACTTTAATAATTTAACGACCGAGTTATTTTTTAAAATATGCGCTCAAACGCACTCACGTGTGTCTCACAACAGACTGATGCCGATGTAATGAGTTTTGGTGGCATCAGGCGAAGGCTATAGAGGTATTGGATGCGTTTCAAACGACAATAGCGCCTTCTGCTACGAGTCTAGTACCAATTGAACTTATTTCAAAAGAGGAACTTATAGTCCTAAGGCGTAAAGGGTTAATGATGACACTATGAAAATATAATGTATCTAAATATATATATATTAAAGTAGTTACAAAGTATGTCCTTATTAATCCTTCATTAAGTAATCAAATCAAAATTCCTCAAATTCTGCAAAATTGTTTTCAGCAGTCTTATGAGTGCCCTGCTCATTCGAAGCGGAGTGCCTTGGTGTCATCGAGTAGTCATAAGGTGGTGAGAGTCTCTGTTCAAAGAGACCATTCCAATCTACCATAAGGAACCATGGATGGTTTCTAATTTCTCTTGGTCCCTCTCTTGCTAAAGAACCATAACGCCGGGATACCTCCCGTTGAAGTAATTGTCTCAGAAGATGTCGCAGACTATCACTCATCCTAACTACGTTACTTGAATTCACAGCTTCGAGTGGGTCTTTTCGTGGGTCCAGAATCTTTGTGTAGGTATTAGCAACACATCGGGAGACAAATGGAGAAGCGCCCACCATCATTTCATATAAGAGAATTCCAAAAGCCCACCAGTCAACCGAAAATCCATATCCCTGATGTCTCAGTATTTCTGGAGCTAGATATTCCGGAGTTCCACAGAATGTGTATGTGCGATAGATTACGAATTTGGCGAATCCAAAATCGACTAATTTGATATACCCATTATGTGAGATCATAATATTCTCAGGTTTAACGTCTCGATGGATGATTTGCAAACGATGAAGATATTCCAGAGCCATCAAAACTTGTGCTCCATAAAACCGAGTCAGTCGTTCATCAAATCGATGAAGGTGTCTCAACATGGTAAATAAATCACCTCCTGGGACGAATTCCATCACCAGATAAAGCCTCTTCATATCTTGAAAAGCAAAATTCAACTGAACAATAAATGGCATATCACAGAGAGCCAAGATGGCTCGTTCACTGTTGACATGAGTAACATGACCCTTGCTGATAACAGATGTTTTCAAGAGGATTTTTGCAGCATGCCAGGTTTGAGCAGTCTTATGACGTAGGAGTCGAACTTCACCAAATCCTCCACGACCAAGAGCTTGGTAAAAGAAGAAGTCCGAACACTTTGCGATAGGAAGTTTCAGGGGCTGAACCCGATGATTTGCCTTATCGCGCTTGATTTCGACAAGTTCATCAACTCTATGACGTTCTGAGGAGAGGAACTCTTCCCAACCATTTGTGTTTGCATCGTTAAGTACGACTGATTGCAGTGGCATGAGAATTGAGGAATGTGGTAGGAGATATGTTGTCACAGTGATGATTCGTACAACGCGTAATTGACCTTTGCCCGATCATAGGTATTAGTTAGCTAACCATCTACTAAGGTGTGTTACGAATGTGAATGGTGCATACAAAAAAATTGTGATTAGGTGTGCTTATAATAAGAACACATTGAAACTTGTAAACACAAATAGTTTAGAAGGATAAAATAAAAATCAATTATGGTCATTCAATGAAACAAGTGTGACGAGCAATAATCCAAAGCCGACATAAAAAATGGCATGATGTTTATGAATGACCTCAAAATTTATTTATTTCAAATGGCAGGCGTTTTGATAACTATCATTAGCCTTTTTGCTGACTTCGGGCTTCACAGAGGGAAGGTTCATCAAAGTAGCAGAAAGTCGAGGGGTGGGGCACAGAAGAGCGATTCACAGATGCAAAAGAGATAGACAGACACAAAGGTAGAGAAAAAGTAAAGGTGAGTACTGTGAAAGTGTTGGAATATGGCATACAGTGGGGTGATGGTAGCTTGAAGTGAGAAGTCAACTGCCAGTTAATAGACTTTTTTGCCGTTTGAGTATACTTTGTTCAGGGTTCACCACGTGGAGGTAAGTCTATCGCACACCCCTATGATCTCAAAATCTGAGTAGTTCTATGGCCTTTATTAAGCCAGAACGTCCTTAAGGCTATGTGCCGGCAAATTGCTGTCCAATGTCAAGAGACTATAACGATTGCCATCACAAATGCAATAAAACACAATTTCAATTGTAGGGAGCAAGTGACAACAAAAGATTGTAAGCGTGTCAAAAAGATACAAAAAATCAACGCAGAAGGTATGAAGGAGCCTCTTGCAATTGATTTTTAGAGTTGATAAACCGAAGACTAACGCAAATCTCGCTTCTCTATAGGTGCTATTCAAATTCAAGCATCTTAGGTCTATCATCACTTGCGATGTAAAAGCCAACTCATTCCAAGTTATTGCTAATTTTCATCCTAAAGGCACCCGTATAATAACTATACTCCGAAAATGGAGTGGAAGTTCACTCATGGAAGCCTGCTATAATTAGGGTAGTTTTTTCAGAACGACCTAGAAATATCGCTTTAGGCCCACCGGTCCCGCTTTAAAACCCAGTTTGGCGTCAAAATCGTTATAACGTGTCTTCACTCAGATTCCTCTTGGACAATTCTCCATAGACTGTGTCTTATTGGGATGCCCATAATTAGTACATTTGCGTGTTCATCTAACTGTGCAGTGATTCCAGAGATGACATTCCCATATGGATTTATATTTCATAACCGGGGTGTGTGATAGACTTACCTCCACGTGGAGCACCATGGGCAACGTATACTCATACGGCAAAAAATTCTATTAACCGGCAGTTGACTTCTGACTCCAAACCACCATCACCCCAGTGTATGTCATATTCGACTACTTTCGCGGTACTCACCTCACCTTTTTTCTACCTTTGTGTCCGTCTCTTTTACATCTTTGAATCACTCTTCTGTCTCCCCCCCCCCCCCCCCAAGACTTTTTTCCACTTTGATGTTCCTTCCCCTCTGTGAAGCCTGAAGTCAACTAAAGGGCTAATGATAACTATGAAAATGCCTGCCATTTGATATAAATAAATATTTCATAACCAAGCAGATATCTCGTCTCGAGCATCATGCCTACAGATGGAACTAGTACTAAGTTCAAAGGACATAACAAGGAGATCATTTTTCTTGCCTTGGGATAATTCAGTCCCATTAAACAGTTTTTCAATGTCCATACAATGTAGACACTGGGTGGGTTAGGTAGTATAGTCATCAGACACTATTGAGGATTTGAGGCAAATTGGCGACTGGTCTCACCAGTTGTATTCTTCCCTATCCTTATTTCTACAATTCCAACACGTCATTGACTATACGGCCTTCCATATTAACTTCTCTTAACTGTGGAACTTCTTGAGAAAAAAACTACTTAATTAAGAAGAGAGAGTAAAAGAACGGATATACTGTGTAAGATTTCATAGACCTTATGGATTAAATAAAGTGCGGTCGAAATACAGTGTATCTGCCTTTTTTTCCACTGATTATGAGGCAAACAAGCTTTCACATATAAATTTGCATCAAGGGTCATATACATTAAATTGAGAAAAGAAGAGGTCATTTTGAAGATCACGAAACCACCACAGGTATCTCGCTGGGTTCCAACTTCTTGACTCCGTTCATATACGGCCAGAGAATTGGAGGCAATTCAATACTTCCATCCTAAAAAAGACAGAAGAGCAAGATTTTAAGTGCAGTTAGCTCCCAGCTACTGAGAGCATTTCAAAGAATGAGGTAAAGCCCCAGACCCGTCAGTGATATAACTTTAATGAACATTTGTTTGTAAGATCCCTTAAGCCAAAAGGAAATACATTTACTCACAAGACATTCGGCTCAGAGAAGAACAAGTACGTACTGTTTAAGTTTTCTGAAGTTCTACGTTAAATGATACAATATTTCGACAAACGGGGGTGTGCGATAGACTTACCTCCACGTGGTGCACCCTGGGCAACGTTTACTCATACGGCAAAAAAGTCTATTAACCGGCAGTGGACTTCTGACCTCAAACTACCATGATCCCACTACGTTTCATATTCGACTAATTCCACATTATTCACCTCACCTTTTTTCTACGTTTGTGTCTGTCTGTCTCTTTTACGTCTGTGAATCAGTATTCTGCCTACCCTCTCGACTTTTGCCACTTTGATATTCCTCTTCCTTTCTGTGAAGCCCGAAGTCAACTAAGGGGCTAATGATACCTATAATAACTCCTACCATTTGAGATAAATAAATAAATATTTCGACAACCGCACAATTGCCCAACTTTAACAAGTCCCTTTCCTGAGCTTAATATCCTGGACTTGCTGTTAGTAAAGTTACTAGCGGCTGTAAGAATCAGTCGTAACACTGCATTACCAAATGATTGCATTCAATTAACACGTGAACCCATCACCGAAGAATTCATCTTTAATATATATTCAATGCATGCTAATGGGGAATGGGATAATGCTGATCTATGACAACTATGAGTTTCTTAATCGCGACACCTCCACACAAGAGTAGTAGTAAAAACACTTCCTTCGCTGGTGTTAGAATATACAATCTCCTAAATTGGCGAGAAAATGATAATGTGCGTATGAAAGAAGGCAATGCTCCAAAGGAATAGACAGGATCACTAGACCTCTCAAGCACAACTATCAGCAGGGACTTCCACGGAAAAATTGTATAAAAAATAGGGGGTGGTTATGAAACGCCACAGATATCAGAAAGATATCTGTAATTTTGCCAACAGATTCAATGCGAGGTCTTTTGAAAGTAAGGAAGCATACATTCTTCTTAGATGTGAAAATCGTCCTATCCTCGTCACAAGACTACCCCCCCCCCACAGTCCAATTATTATCAAGTATCTTATTTGCATCAATAAACGAACATGGTAATATCAATTTCATTATAAAATCAATTGTTAGAATGAAGATCAAGACATTTTAGTTACTTCACATACAAATAGACGTGAATTCGCATTTTTATTTAAATAGAAGTCTACTAAAACTTACGGGATTTTGATGAGTTTCCACAAGAGCTTTAAGGATTCGGGTAACAGCACAAGCAGTGCCATTCAACTAAAAGGTACGAAATCAAGAAAACATTAGCCGCAGTTAAAAGATGAACACATTTAAACACAGCAAGTTGTCTTACAGTATAAGCGTAGGGATATTCATCTGGTTCAGAGCCTTCCCTCCAACGTATATTCAATCGAACCGCCTGATAATCTGTACAATTCGACGTGCTCGATATCTGCATGAAGCAATGAACACACGATAAAAAAGCAGAACAAGTAAAATTTGACTTCCAGTTTTGTAAAAGCATTCAAGATTCATTACACAATGCTGTTAGATAAATTGCCTATTGTATGATGCGACATTTGTTGTACAATGTGAGGTAGTAAATAATGAAGAAAAAATAACGGAATCTACAAGGAACTAACCTCACCGAATATGCCCTCTCCGGGCATATGAGCCTCAATATCGATTTTCCGATGAGCTGGATCGCCGAGTTCGCTTGTAGGCATTTCAAGGACACTAGAAAAAAAAGTATTTATAGACTAAAGAGAGCAAATGTAAAACCACCGTAATGAACAGATTAATAGGATAGCACACTTGGATTCAACCAAAGTCAATAGAACTAGTTGACTAACCTTCAAGTGTGTAAATATACCGACAGTATCACCAATAGGTGAGCTTTAGGCTTGATAAAAATGTCTACAAAATGGTAGACATATTGCAAAAAACAAACAGATTAA